TTTGACGGTTTTCGCGAAACAAACGGTTATTGTGCGACAACCTTAAGGGATAGATATATGCTATCGCGGATTTTTATATATCTTATTAAATGAGCTACAATTCTTTCATACATCATTTTTATGTAGGTCTTATAGTTTAGGCTACGTAAGCCAAGAAAGCAAACTTTGTTACAAGTTGGTATTTTTTTCTGCGACTCGTAATTTGTAATTTATGATATCTCCTAAACTATTGATCGGAATCATATAGTTCAAAGGGAATTTATAATCTTCATTAAATTCTCTTGATAATGGACATATTTATTTGGAAAAAGAATTCATACCGAAAACGAGTAATAGCGTTGTAAGTGGGGTATACATTTTAAGCGATATTTTTAATGAAAAAAGTGGTTATTGTGCGACAACCTTAATAGATCGATATATGAAATCGCAGACTTTAATTTAACAAATTCATCTTTAATTTAACAAAACATCATTTAAGTGTAAGTCTTATAGTTTAGGCTACGTAAGCAAAGAAAGCAAAAAAGACCCCAAATTTCGTCATGCGATTTTAAACTAATCTATTTAACTACGCCGTAGTTTTGGACTCCAAAAATTTAAAAAAATATGGGACCCACCTGGAAGTACTACTTTTCGGATAAAAAAAAAATAATTATCAAAATCGGTCCACTAGCGGCGGAGTTAAGTATACTGTAACTCCCTACACCCATAAAAAACATGCCGACGAATTGAGTACCTCCTTCTTTTGGGTAGTCGGCCAAAAAATAAAAAAGGAGAAACATTTAATATTTACGTCTTTACTGTATAACAATTTTAACAATAATAATTTTTAGAAGAAAGGTATATTTCTGCACTCAAGGTATATCTTAAGTTAGTTATTATCATTTTCTTGCTTTCGTTTTTTAGGGATTTCCTTTTCGTCGGCGTTGTTTGAAAATATATATTGCACTATTAGGTATATTGCAGCCATGACAATCTGTAAAATAAAACATTTTGTAATTAAAACAATTTTGGTTATGCAGGCAAACAAAATTGTATTTAATATTATGCTGCTTTTATATTAAGGTAATGTAATGTCTCTTCTGCGTTTTAAAACATTTGCATATTTAGAACGCGGATATCGCCTACGACTTTTGCTATTGAATCTTATTTGGATTGAATCTTACTGAAGATCGAAAATAATGCTTTCCCAAATCTCGAATATTTATAATAGTTAGACGTAAAGCACGAGTTTTGTTACATTATTTTAAGACAATTACGGGAACGGATGAATTTGATACAATTAAAACGGAGAAATGCCTACTTCTAACCGTTAAATAAAAAAAATATTTAACAATGAATTCGATAATGGAATTTCGAGCAATGGGGTACCACTGGTAATATTGGTTTGTTTTAAACTTATTGGAAATACTCGTACAATATTTGTTACCGATTGGCATGAAGTACTGTGTTTTCCAGTATTCAGAAAATTTGCATAATTAGTACAGTTTATAAAATAGTACAAGACATGACTGTACTCGTATTTTGTACATTTGCAGAAATGACTATCAGTTATTTACTTATTATTAATTAATATCATATTATATAAGATTGCTCGCGACTTGGCCGGTGTGAAATTGAAAAATATAGCCTATGTTACTCACGAATAAATTAACTTTCTAACGGTGAAGGAATATTTAAAATTGGCCCAGTAGTGGTTGAGTTATTTCAATACATACAAAAATACAACTCTTTCCTCTTTATAATATTAATATAGAAGTATAGATTTAGAAGAATGATGACATAATTAAATACACTTACCTCAAAAGTAAAAATAAACATATATTGACAAGTCTTTAATTCGTCGTCAGTTAAATCCTTCGTTGTATAAGTTGCAGAATCTGTGGCTATATAAAGATATCCTAAAAATACACAAGACTAAAGTTTACGTGCATTGCATAAACCCAATTGCGGCTGTGTCCAGACACTTTGGGTACTATGTCATATGTCAAACTAAAGGATTTACTACGAACTACGCGATTTATTAATAAAACCTGAGATTTATCAAACTTGGGCGTTGCCAGATGATTATCTAGGCTGGATATAGGGAGGAGCTCTTAGTGTTTTGATTTATTACAGAGGCAATGCTTATCTATATACTATCTATACTAATAAATACTCGTATATTAAGCATAAACAGCCACTACCTCGTGGCGTAGGATGTCAGAAATCACAGCATAATTTTTTTATTTTTTTATTTTTGCTATATATAATATTATCATGCTATTAAACTCAGAGGATCAGTAAATTAAAAACATGCTTTGCAAGAAAAGAACAAAAACTAGCAACATCAAAGCAAGGTTGTCATGATTACTTAAATTCTCGGGCAACGCCAGGGACTTTCGTAGTAATTTGAATTTTGACATTTGAAACTGTATTTATCTATTTTACATATTTGATTCTTTTTGGGGGGAGGGGGGGGAAGAGGTGGGAGGTTTGCTGTCCTAGTTCCTCTCTTTTGCGACGTCTATAAACAGTGTAATGAAAGCTGTTACGGTTGTATGGAGAAATCAAAGAAACGTCTTTCGCCATTATTACTAGTAATTGTTCTATAAATTATGTAATCTGTAGAGTTCGATGAGTTTATATCATTCACAATTTTTCAATACCAGCTCATTATACCACTGAGGTGCTCGGAGCTTATCCTAAGTCAGATTAGGGGAAATTTAGATCCCCACCAACGGTTCCCGCCTTGTCGTGGCGGTG